TTGGCGGCAATGTGCATTGCCGAAAGGCCGTCAATGGACCGCTGATAATTTATGTCCATTCCAGGACAGTCGAGAAGGAAGGTCATATACTCCTCTAAGCCTTTCTCTGTTGCCAGCAAGAGCAAGTTGTCGCCCGCCTGTGAGTGTATTGATCAACAATGACTTTATTGTCGTCGGTGGCCCTCGATACATTTTGCTCGACGTGGGACATTTTCCGCGTAGTGGACCGCAGCCTACATGCGCCGTACACCGTGCAGATAGTACTATACCCACTGACAATACATGCCGGACACAACTGCATGGTACTTTCCTTACACCTAGAAATCTTTATCCATTAGATATACTAGACTGATAAGAAATTGTCGAATGGCGTCGTGCACCACGGCATTTTTATTCTGTTTATACCAACGAGATTGCGGCATTAAAATTAAACCAACTTGCAAAACATTCACGGAAGCGTCACTTATCGTCAATGCAGTTGATTGTCAAAGTAGCTAAACAACCTTCTATTTGTGATTTGTGTCTTTAATTTCTTACTGGCTCGGTAGTAAATTGCGCTCATAGGGGCTATGTCCCCCAGGGTAATACCGGAACGTAGGCCTACCTAGCTGGTAACCATCTGATATGGTTAGGGTTAGGGTTAGGGCTAGGGTTAGGGTTAGGGAGTAGGCGTAGGCGACTCCCTAGACTCGTTAGTGGAGTAGGCGAGGTACGGTCCGGCATATTAGATAGTACCAGCAGAGCATATAATCACGTTGATTTATATGCTCTGGAACCAAGGGTACGTTCCGGTATACCGGACCGTACCAAGGGTACGTTCCGGCAGTACTCTGGGGGACATAGACCCTCTCAGCGTAAATTGCGCATACACTCGATCTTAATAATCCATCTCTTTCCTAGGGGTACCGAGCTGGCGTCCACAATCTAAGTACTCGTAAATTTGTTCATCAATCAATAATACTAGGGGCTCTAAGTACCACTTAGCTGTTTGAATTGCGCTGTCAAAAATATTGCAACGTTGATTCTACAGCAACGGCTAAACAAAACTCTCTAGCATTCTAGCTCTAGTAAGCGCTAGTGCGATGGCTGATGGTATTCGTAGCGTTTATGTACAGAGTGGGTCATTGTTTGTAGTTATTAGGTAGCATATAAGACGTTTCGTCGAGGTCACCTCAAAGAGGTGTACATGCACTGGTTACCGGACTAAAGTTATGTGTACCTTGTTTGCTTGGTTTATATTGAAGTCAGACGGGACATACTCCCAAAGACGATCGAACAAACTTTTTGGGCTATATTCGATTGCAATCATCAACGCGTTGCATCCACGCTGAAAAAAACACATCGCCCGATAGATAATAGATAAGACAAGACATATAAACACATGCAGTAAGCTATCATGCGTGATCATGTTTTATGGTAGGACTATAGCTGTCATAAACAAAGAGTTCGTGAGAATGTTTCACCATTTACTAATGTTAAACGTATAGTGTATAATAACGATGAACTTTTATTCGTGGGTTCAATTCCACGCGGATATATATACATGTATTGACGGTGCGCCACCTTATTTTTCATTGTAACATCGGCACCAGCATCCAGAAGAAGTTTAATGACATCTGGGTAGCCCTTCTGCACAGCCACCATTAACGGGGTGAGTCCGTCCTAGACATATGTGCAAAAAAATGATAAGAATATTTCGCTACACGTGCGTATTGGCTTGAAAGTTTAGAAGTAATCATATTCTTCGTGATTTTTTTTAACAAAATTAACATAACTAACTAGTATTGTCTCGACGCGCAGGTGTTCGTTTAGTTAAATATAGACCCCGTTTATATATATGCTACCGCTCAGGGGCGTAAATCCGTACTGAGGAGTGGGGGGGTGATCACGCGAAGGGGGGGTTTCTGGGGCCCTCCCCCAGAATTTTTTTGAAATTAGACCCCCTCAGATGCGTTTTCTGCGCGAGCAGGGAGGGGGTCCGGACCCCCTGGACCCCCCCCCCTGTACACGCCCCTGCAGTAATTGAAATGATTTAGGTCTGCCCATGTCTCCAAATTATCATAATTAGCTGAACTTTCAAGTGGGGCACGGAGGAAGGAGTTTTTTTTTAATCTCATGGGGGGATATTTGTACAGGCTATCCCCCCTCCTTCAAGAGCGGGGGGGATGCATCCCCCCATCCCCCCGGGATTTACGCCCATGCTACCGCTCCTAACGCATACATCCATAGTGATGTCAGTGTCGATGGAAGGTTCCGGAATTGTCAACAACTCCTTCACGAGCGCGGCTTCCCCAAATGTTACTGCTATCGACAGTGCATCGTGCATATGCTGAAAACAATTTTTTATTTAGATTATATGCAGGAGAAAAGATTGGTAAAGCAATAGTAGAATTAAATGGTGAATTTGATGTTAGGTTTGATCACATACAAATGGGTAAGGTTAGTTTGGTTAGAGTAGGTTAGGTTTAGGTTATGGCATACACGCCAACCCTACCGCTTTACGCGGTAGACTACCGCTTTTTGAAGACTTCTACCGCCTACCGCTTTTAATACTATTCCTACCGCATTGCAAAATATTTTGAAAAAACTTCTTTTTTTTCATTTTTTTCATTTTATCTCTAATAAATGTATGTAATGTATCTCTAATGCATTCTATTGCAGTCCAATTACTCCCCAGAATGCAGGAGAAGGCACCATTTAGCACCATTTTTTGAAAATTTCCCTGGGGGGGCATGCCCCCAGACCCCCTTAGCGGCGCGCGCGACTGCGTCGCACGCGGATCTACCACTTTTCATTCAAAATAGGTTGGCATGTATGTTATGGTGGTCGTGCAATGTGCAAACAATTAAATAAATGGGTCGATATGTCTGTGCTCAAGGCCAACTTGCCAAATGAGCCGCCAAAACAGTCACGGAAGATGCGGCAAGATATTTCGCAGTAACAACACAAAGTACGAGATTTGAATAGGGCCGAGCGCAAGTAATTGTAAATTGTAAATTATTTTGCAGTGTATGATAGCAGTCATATCGCTATTGTCCTCAGTTACAAACGATCTATGGATCGAACGTGAGCGTGAACCATATCCATTATCTTGATCGATTATCCATTATCATGCGTGCGCATACAAAGAGAGAGAGACTCGGAGAGAGAGAGGACAGAGAGGGGGGAGCGAGAGAGAGAGAGAGAGAGATTGACGCGCACGTGTGTACGTATATGCGTATATATATATATATATATTATATATTTACCTTACGAGTTATTTTCTTAGCTTTCAGTTTTGCTACAAATTCTCCACTTATTTGTTGAAGTAGAACCCGTACTTTCTCGTCCTCTGATTGCGCGGGTGTTTCCTCGCCATTTTTTTCCGGTTTTTCAAACAGTATCCTTTTTACAACTGACTTAGTTGGGTGTCCATATGTGTGACTCGACGTCATAATTGTAGCACAAAAGTTTAAAACTTGACTTTTCCGCATAATGATATGTAAACGGTTTGAAAATTATAGTAGCTACCTTGTGATGTAGGTATAATGCTTCAAACTTTTCCGTCAACAAATCGAGGTTGCGTGATTCTAGTTCTTGGTCATAGAATAACATGTATTGTAAAAGTGGAGAAGCGTAATAACGTTTGTGATTGTTATTGGAGTCATTTCAAGTTTTCTATGCTTTGTTGGGAATCGGATTGTTCATGTTACTATGCCAACATTAATTTTGTCTTCATCCGTTCATTGTGTTCACGCGTTCATTGTGTTCAAATGTGTGGTACGCATTTTAGAGTTTTAAAAGATGCATGATCGTTCTATATATCTATTGACTCATCCATCCACCTACTTATCTAGCTACCTAAATCTATATAACTATCCATCCATCTACGCACGCACGCACGCAGACATTCACGCACGCACGCACGCACGCAGACATTCACGCACGCACGCACGTACGCACGCACGCACGCACGCACGCACGCACGCACGCACGCACGCATTATATATTTATATATATATATATATATATAGATAGATAGAAAGATAGATCCGTTCGTCCGTCTATCTGTGCACTGCTTATATTATTCCACATAAAGAACTAACTCTGTTATCCAGTAGATCTTGTAGTTAGCATGCAATATTACGAGAATCACCACGTATATACTGTAGTTTTTGTCCAGGAAATAATTTTCAATGAAAGGAAAAACTTTCAGAAAATGATAAATTTCATAATTTGCTAGAATTGTTATTCCTACATTTACTATACATGATATAACTCAAAGAAATCGTCAATCTTCGAGTATTCATAATACCCACCAAAACTACTTTCGATTTTTTATTCTCTTGAATTTTTAAATTCTGATAGAAATACCAACTTTTTAAAATGAACTATGTAAAGCAATACTAATCCTGACTTGCAGTTGCATATGATAATAAACTTGCGTAGCATAATTAAGCCGTGAACGCCGAGGAATATGTTAATATATCGTCTAAGCCTATCGTTACCCATACAACAACTGCCTAAATAAAGAAACTGAATAACGCATAACCGACATGTATGTAATTGACATTGTACAGACGTGTTAACGCGGGTGTGTGAGAGTGCGTGCGTGTATCTTCTGTAGACGTGCTAGATGCAGCAGAGAATTCGATACCTATGATGTACGCTGTGCTAGTAGTGTTAAAGTGATTACGTCACCGAAAATAGTAAAAATAAAAAATATATTTCCACTTTTCCACAAAATGTAAGTAATTCTGTTCACTTTTTATGGTTAAATTGCTGCATTATACTTCCTATTTTACTATATTGTTCGATGTAAACATACACTCGGGACTCATATAGCAAGCAATTAATGTCAGGATCATAATATCAAATCGTCCAGGTTTTTTGGATTTTTAACTAGTTGAGAAACAATCTTATCAGGTAAGAATTTGATGATACATTTAGTCCCATTAGTACTTACCTTTAATGTAAAAAAATGCAACAATTTTTTTTACAAAATACACTATAGAAAGTTCGTGACGTAGTCAGTTTAATATTGAATAATATTTCCCTTGTTTATTAGGAAGCCTACTAATGACCATGTACCACAATTCCAACACATTAATTATTATTAATAATTATTATTATTCCGACACAAGCATGCATCACATTAATTTCCTTTATATACGACGTGTGAAAGTACTTATTTAATAATGAAAATATAGTTTTCAATACAATGAAGGCACATGATGTATATCAACACATCTTTATCAGATTAGTAATGCAAGTTCAATCATTTATCACAAAAAGATAACCAACTTAACGAATCCTGGTCTCTGATTTTCAACTTTTTAGGACTAATCAAACTAAGGAACACAATGCAAATTTACCCGTTTACAATAGCATATATTAATTATAAAGGTATACATAAGTTTCATTAGTGAAACATGCAGTCAAACTTCGAGCACTAGAACAAGTCCTCTAGGTCTCTCTCAGTAAAGCTGGCGTCACTATCGGAAGACTCACTAGAACGGTTTACTTTATATACACGTCCTGAGTCATCTGCCAACAGAAAGAACATTGTTGTATTACATAGTTAATGATCAGATGTGCATAGTGTGAAACGTTAATTTCAATTTTAGTAAGCGAGTTAGGACAGAAATAATATAACCATTACTCACGATCATGGTAATACACTAAACACGCAAGTGCTATAATAGTACAGTTGATAAGCTCTCATATTATAACAATTGTGCATTTTATGAGAAAAGCATGAAATTTCTAGCATAGTTAGTATATACCATGATGTTTATTTTCAGATTGGAGGGAAGTCAGATTTGACCTCTGAGGACCGTGAGAGGTCAAATCCAAGATGGCCGCCAGTCCACCGGGTCTTAATGTTCAAACGCGCTTAATTTTGAACCAAACAGCGTTAGAAAAACATTTAAGGTGTCGATTCCAACTAAATGGGGATGACCATTCATTTGGTGATACCTTTGAGATCGCTAGAACTCAAGGACATGCATTTAGGCCAAGGTCAAGCGTCAAAATTTACCAAAAAATAAGAAATCGGTTGAAATTTGCAAATAAACACTCAGAGATGTAAATTCAAAATAATCTTAAGATTCCATATATTTTGATGGATCATTTTCAAGTTGCCAGCACTTTGAACCCTTGGCCAGATTCCTGTCCTTGCTGTTGACCAACCACTGTATGCTCTTGCTAAGGAAGTCCAGTGGACCTGGCCAGCCACTCACGGAGAGGATCACTTTGTGATCATGTTCGGTGGTCTACACATCGAGATGGCAATGTTGAAGTTGCTGGGAGACTGGCTGGAAGACAGTGGTTGGACGAACGCGCCTCGGTACAGGCTGACATTGCAAGTTCCGGAACAGCAAATTCTTTCATACATGCCAGGCATGTCACCAAGACACGCCATGTACACCAAGTCACAGCTGCAAGCCTTTATACACTCATCCAACAAGCTTACAATGAAGACTGCACATCTGATGATACTGATGCCATGTACGCAGATAGCCGGTCTTGAGGAGTGGTGCCTACAGCCAGTGTCCACTTTGACTACTGGCATAAGGCCCTGTCATTGGTGCTTCTCTTGCTGCGGTACATCAGGTCACTTCGTGAAGGTAACTTCCATCTGTACGTGAAATCCCTGACGCAGATCATGCCCTGGATGTTTGCCCTAGATCACACGCACTACTCCAGGTGGCTTTCCGTACACATCCGTGACATGACGACTTGCTGAAAAACACCCAGATGTTATAGCAGAATTCAAGTCTGGAAACTTCGTGGTGCACAAAACCAGCAACAAGTTTTCTGCTATGGCACTTGACCAGTTCCATGAGCAAAACAATGCAATGGTGAAAGGTTCTGGTGGGGCTATAGGACTGACAGGCAATCCAGTAGCACTCAGACGCTGGTTGGTAGCAAGGCCAGAAATTGCCAGGATTACTACAGGAGCTTGAGGAACAGGCCATAAAGCAACAGGGTGAGGCTGTTGACACTGGACACCCTCACCATGACCAGCAACCTGGAGTGCAAGCAGCATTCCTGAAGGAGGTTAAGGCACGTGACAGTGCTGAAAGAAATGGGGAATTCATTTCTAGAAATCAGCCAAGACCTACTAGTCATTAACACAAGGGACATTATGGACACCCAAGTGGCTGAAACTGTGAGAAAGATTGAGACCCTTGGTGAGAAGCAGTACACTAAGTTTGTGACAGAAAGGTTAGAACAGTGTACCACACCTGTCACACAGACACTTCCAAAGAACAAGTTGCCACTTTTCAGTAAGCCACCGGTCAAGATTAAGTCAAAACAGAAGGCACAGCTCGCTGCACTGAAGAGTGACTGTGGTCTCTTTTCGAGGCTGTACATCTCCTGTCAAACTCGAGATGGAGACATCAACAATTTCTTCTCCCATGGAAACCAGGCAGCCCCGCAGCTCTGTCAACTAGAGGAAAATGCGGTTTGGGGTTAAAGCAGATCTACTTCGCTGCCTGGAATCAGATCTGCTCGAAAACAATAGTTGCCTGTGGCTGATGCAACAATTTTCGATGGTGCAGCTGTGGTTCAAATGCTAAATCCTGGGACATCAAGAACATTTAAAGAGTATGCCAAAAAGAGTGTTTGCACCATACATCTCTGCTGAACTCGAGAAATGCAGCCGCATCGACCTTGTCTGGGATGTATACCTACCTGCCAGCCTGAAAGCCTCACTCAGACAGAATAGGGGAAAGGGCATCAGGGAAAGGGTGTCTCCTCTACTGTTGATGCCAAAGAACTGGAGGACTTCCTTCGAGTCAATGAGAACAAACCCGAATTATTTGCTTTCCTGTCACGCGAGGCTGTTCACATTCATCTAGCAGAAGGCAAGGAAACTGTATGCAACAGGTGGAAGTGGGGTCCTGTGCTCTCCTGTCGAGTCATCGTTGGGCCACCTTGCCCCATGTTCACAAGAGGAGGCTGACACTTGTCTACTTCTGCATGTGGCAGATGCTGTGCAAAAGGGTGACCATACGTACATTGATCCTGATGTGGTGGTACTGGCTGTGGCTTCATTCTGCAAGATAGCTCCGCATGAGCTGTTGGTGGCCTTTGGTGTTGGTCTCAAGCGTTCGCTACATAAGCTGTTTAGAAATGCTGCCACAATGATCCAACACAGTGTCTCACTCTCCCAGTCTTTCACGCTTTCACCGGATGGTGACACTGTATCTGCATTCGCTGGCAGAAGGAAACGAAGACTGCCTGGGAAACTTGGAAGTCTTTCCCAGAGGTGAATGATGCTTTCAGTGAACTCCTATGCATGCCGAGTGAGGTCAGTGAAGATCAATGTTATTCCTAGAGCGTTTTTGGTGCTGCTGTATGACCGAACCAGTGAAGCACGGAAGTGAATGATGCCAGGAAACAGCTCTCACACAGAAGTCTAGAACTCTAGAGAAAATCCTCCAACCCAGGCGCACATCAAGCGCTCTGCTACCAGGCCAACTGTTGGAACAGGCATTGTCATGGATCCAGAGATTCCAGAACTATCTGAGCTGACAAAGGAAACAACTGGTGGCAGCTTCTTTGCGATCCCTCTCCATAGCTAAAGAAGCAAAATCGTGCCATTGAATTGATCCACTGTCGCTGCGAGAAAGCATGCACTGGACGCTGCAAGTGTGCCAAAGCTGCTATGTGCTGTGCTGTGCTGTGCTGTGTGCTGTGTGCTGCTTGTGTGTGACTGTGCTGTGTGTGTTCTGTTCTGTTTTGAACATTACCAATAGGATATTTGACTTTTTGAACGTAATTCGACTTTGACCTTGGCCTAAATGCCTGTCCTTGAGTTCTAGCGATCTCAAATGTATCACCAAATGAATGGTCATCCCCAATTTAGTTGGAATCGACACCTTAAATGTTTTTCTACGCTGTTTTGGTTCCAAATTAAGCGCGTTGTGTGAACATGTAAGGCACACGGTGGACTGGCGGCCATCTTGGATTTGACCTCTCACGGTCTTCAGAGGTCAAATCTGACTTCCCTCCACATCTTAAAATAAACATCATGGTATATACTAACTATGCTAGAAATTTCACGCTTTTCTCATAAAATGCACAATTGTTGTGGTTATCTGCTGCACTATAACAACTGTTTCTGTAACGATGATATTTCACAATTATTGAAAATTGCTGCTAAATGTTACTCCGGGCAGAATCTACTTTTATTCCAATGTAGAATTTCAAAATAGCCTCCATCATTTAGTACAAACTCTACTGTTGCATCGTTTTTACGGCACAGCATAGTAATACGTACAACTCTTGATTTTTACTCTAGATAGTTCTCGGATGTTAGCAAGTTCAACGTATTAAATACTGCAAATCTTAATGAAAATGTTACCATGTATTTTAAATGCATCCAATTGCCCAATAACATGGAAACGTTGTAAAACTCATCTTAATTGTATCTATAGTGTGCGCACCAACTAATGGCACATAGAAACCAACGATCAAAACCCACATTACTCATGTGCTGCTAATTTATGCCATCTAGTGTTTCTTTAAAAAAATTCTATCCTGATGAAGAACATGCGGGGTTAGATTATTAGCAGCCCTATAACACAAACTTACTTTGCCCCCATGCTGGCAGCCGATTATCATCCGAGTCCGAATCCTCATACCGCTCAAAGTCCAACGAAATGTTTGGCATCTATAAAAAGATATAGATACAATATAGATACAAGTGGGCAAAAAAAATGTTATATTAAAGATGATTTATACCGACAATTTAACAGTGTTATCACTCGAATCACATTAGTAGGTGAAATTTTTGAATATTTGAAATAGCAAGGAGGTTGGAAGGAGGAAAACTAGGAAATGGGAAGTAGACGTTCATCAGCAGCACCTTCTCTATGCCGAGTAAAAGCCGGGGCCAGAATCCAGGCTGGAGCTTGTGAAGGACGATGAGCACTTCTCCTCCCATTATGCGTGTATCTTCCAGTCGGACACACTCATACAGATCTATGCTCAGTGCATACGGCTTGCTGTCTAGCAGTGTCCTGCAAGTAAAAATTACGTAATTGACAGGGTTTCTTATACATAAGAGGCACAGTGGCGCCCTGCCGTTGTCAAATTTAACATCGCCGTTGTGAAAATGTTCCTGTATTTACCCGCCGTTGTCAAAATAGTGTCAACCCAAAAATAAATAGATCACCACGTGCTTCTGGCATATTTAGATTGCCATGTGCGTTTATTGAGTCATGTGATGCGGGATCTTTTGGTCATGTGATGCGTTATTTTTTTCCAAAACTGGCCATTACCTCCTTTGTATAATTTTCCCTCAGAAGAAACCTTGATTGAGCAAAAGCAACCTGACGCAAACGACGGAGGAATACACGAAGGATCAGGTGGCCGCTGTGGTGTTTTGCAGGCTATGATATACTGACCTGAAGTCCACGAAGCGTTCATGAACCTCCACTGTCGTGAGACTGTCGACAACACCCCTCAGTTTAATCGCAAGCTGAACAATCTCCTCCTTCTGAGACCAGCAGGTATTTGGCATCACACTGTATACGACACATTAATTCACATGAACATAGACAAAATGTTGATAAATAAAAAAGTTTAGTGGCAGTGGAAATGGAAATTATCCAAGAGAGAGCCTCATCTCGTTTTTTTCAAACGTGGCATAGATGCATTGCAGGTAAACAGACTGTAGCAGGGTTCAGGCAACCATGTAAAACCAAGTGTTTGCATACAAAAATGAAGGTGCAAGAGGAAATAACTACTGGTTTACACTCATGCATGTTCTACAAAAGACAGACAGATTTAGCAAGCTACTTTAAACCCCATTTTTCTAGAGAGGTTGTATCATTGGAGTTCTTACGTAATTTACAAAAACATAACTGACTAATAGTTATCTGTAAGCGTTATACCTAGAGATTATGGGTTCCAGTTTGGGCATCACGTCTGCACATGAAGGCAATGACCCATTGCCAGCATGGGGTGGTGGCTCTGCAACAGTTTCGGTTACACACGTTCCGTGCCCATCTGAGTTCATCTGCTCTGTTGTGACTGAAGACTGAGGGTGTTGACTTTCAGTATTATTCTGACTGACTATCGTAGATGCTACTGTGCACTCTGCCAGATCTTTAGGAGCGAGTTGAGTTGTAACACCATTGCAATCTTCAACATGAGTCACACACTCAGTGGTGTTAGCAGATGCGCCTTGAATTTTGTCCATTATCTTCTTGGTAAATGGGCGCAGTATACGCTCCACGCACTCATCAGAGCTCTCATCACGAATATCCGAATTGTCCTCGTCGTGGTAATTGACAACCTTTGCTAAGAGATCTGCACACAGTGTCGTTATACTTTTCTTAGTGAACCTGTAGAAGGAAGAGACTTCATTTGAGTTACAGTGCATGCATACCTCAAATACTAACTAACAAATGTCACCATCAGAATTCAGATGTGCCGGGGTTACTTAAAAGTATAATACAGGATATAATTGATCCTGTGCTAGCACAAAAACTTTAGATGGAAGAGAGAGGTATGGAGCAGAACAGAATTTATAGGAAGGTTGATAAATGGCTCATCAGTGTTATGTGAGTTACTATATAAGCTAGACACACCTGTCAAAGATTGGCAGCAAGTTGCACTGAGCAAGTCTGGCTATGTTGTCCGGGTGATCAGTAGTGAGCAGCTTGAGAGTGCTCAGTGCTCTGAGAACAAACTTCTTGTCGGTGGAAGTCTCCAGGTGTGTGAAGAGCAGGTCAATGCCTTTATGGCGTCCCACAACCTCCCGGTTACTGTAACATTTCAGTGCATTCTATTGACACACCATTAGTGAAGCGAGCTTGCAATATGCACACACATATACTCAGCGAAGAACTAACCACCGAGCCTTACCACAAAGAAGCCATCAAACACACACATATGCACAGATGCATGCAGCCACACTCACGCACACTTACAGAATGAGCTCGTGTATAGAATGCTATGAATCCCTTGGTTATAGAACCAGTGCCTATACTTAGGTGTGTATATCAACATGTCAAACTCCCTTAACTACACATATCTTACCATCCATACACCTATATACTTCCAAGCAACTAATCAAACACGTCTCTATGCATATCCACATTGCCATCCAACCAGACATGTCTATCCAACCAAACCAAACAAACATCAAACTACGCACGCACGCACGCACGCACGCACGCACGCACGCACGCACGCTCGCATGCACACAACACATTTTTACACCAACACTCAAGCTACCTCTATACTACGCATGCCTAACACACTAACATATGACATGTGCTATAAATAATATTAATCACTAAACTTGGTTATTGTCTACATAATGAACAATGGTGTATAAATGAAATTTAAAGACTGGAATAATGAAACCTAACAGGATGCGCTTAAACAGCACTAGACCACCGACCTGTAAGATATAGCCAACTTCTCTATAGTCCATGTCGCAAACTCCAAGATGTTGGCATTATTTGTTGTTGCGATTAAATCACACAGTAATTTAATCCCTCCTTTGTCCTTCAGAAAACAAACATATTGTAGCATTGCAATTTGAGCTAATATCAAGCATTCATAATATACAAGTGAGTGATTTACCAGCATTTCATCATTGGTATTTATGATATAGAAATTTACACTATTGTTACTTTCACTATTACAGAGACAATATACTAAGGTGCTCTAAACTACATGTAAGCTTACAACTAGTACATGTCGTACACTGCTACAGTGTTACTAAGTACACAGCTAATTGGCAATACCTTAATATAAATAGAGTTCTTTGTGTTGTCGTCTGCCATAGATTTCAGTGCAATGCAGATATTCTCCACAATCTTGTCATTTCTTGTTACTCCCAGCAGGTGGCAGAGCTGCAGTAATCCACCACACTCTCTGATTTTGGCACAGCAGCTGTAGTAACATCAATGAATGTGAATAAATGCTATTAAAATACACATAAATCAAGCAACATTCCATGTAGGCACGTATATGTAAGTGTGAATATGTGTGTGTCTGCATGTGTACATGCACAAGCCCAGGACAATAGTCTACAAATTCAAATGGTTAAAACTCACGCCTTATTCGCTGCAAGAGTAGCCAATGCCCAGGTAGCATGCTCCTGTACAGTGATGCTGGTTGTTCGCTTGAGCAGACGACAGATTGCTTGCACCCCACTCTCTCGGCAAACCTCATCTCTGTTACTACAATTATGAGTTATATAATTCAATCAATCGGTTTATTCACGTCATTGCTAATATTCTAACCACCATAACGTAATCTCTCTCTCTCACTCTCTTCCACTTTTTCATTGTCATGAACGTCATATAAAAATGTCACAAAATGTTTGCACTCTCAGTGACTCACGTGTCATCGCCGGTGACAAGTAGTGTGAGGGTCTGTAGCATGTAAGTCTGCACGACGTCACTGTGGGTAAAGGCTAGGAGCTTGCACAGAGCTCTCACCCCTCCACTCTCCCGCACCTCCGATTTACTCCTATTGTCAGTAAAACGCATACTAGTGTAAGTGGGGAAATCTATGCTAAATTCTCACTGATGATGATTATATAAATAATATTATGTTGACCAAAAGACAGATAATCCAATGGTTGCAGAATAGAGGCAAAACTGTGTGGTGAACAATGTGTTGTGGTAACTTACTTTGCAGACTTGAAGACAATCTCCTTGATACGTTTAGCGATGACTAGTCTCTCTGCCATATCCTTGTTTCTGTACAGGGCAGCGCACAAGCTCGGTACTGCTTGACACGTCTTCTTGTCAGATTGCATATTCTCTCCAAGAACTGCATCAGGAAATAAATCCTGCAAAAGATAACAGAGATCTCAACCAATCACAAGGTGAGACTACACCAGAATACTACATGGTTGACGCAGTTATAATAAAAAAAAATGTTAAACCCCATTTTTTATCGAATACTAGTGACATTGTGAAGTTATTAATAAATTAATCATACAAATTACAGGAGCTGAAAAATATATCAAAGAGAGACAATAGTCACTAAACAACACAATTACTCTACTTACATTAACAAAACAATTACATTTAGAAATGTTCACCTGTACAGAACCCGGAGAACCAATTGCATGTCCTGCTGCAACCAGCTCCTGGCCAATCACAATGTCTTCAGGTGTTGACGTGTCCTGAAGGTCGATGTAGTACTTTACATGACCAGTATACTCAGGGTTTGCACTAGTAGATATTACCTGTAATATAATAATGGGAAAAAAGGACCATGTAACAAGACATTCATTACATTATATTATTTGATTAAATTAATTTATGTTATTAAGTAATTTGTTCACCTCCGTGGTTGAAGCATGTTTTGTATTTTTTTGCTGTCTAGACGACACATTTATTAATCTCTGACAACGTAATCATATTTCCGCATCTTTTACGTGATTTGTATCACATTCCTGAATCTCTTAAACCACTTAAAAATTTCCGAGGTACTAACCAGCTTCTCCTATATATATATCATCACAGCACCATCCTGAATCTCATAAAAAACATATCTACACAACACAATCCTGGACTGCCCAAATATTTTCAGAGCACAACCCATATACACATACCAAATACACATTTATTAATATCTTCCAAGTGTTTCTAGGGTAATTTTGCCTTATCTAAATATTGTATTATAACATGTTTTTATTGTAATCTATATTCTAATTGTCTGCATAGATATTCATTGATGTGTTAAACATAATGCACACTGCCCATTCACACTGCACCTAAATATTTCCAAAGCCCTCACATTATGCACTTAACTGATAAAAAATGCTTAAATATTAGCAGAGGGCAATCTTGCGTGATGTGCATATATTGCCACATGTCATTTCTTCTCCAGTTTTTCGCTAAGTTATCCGTCTGCATCACCTTGGCAACAAGCAGCTTCAGCGACCTGTCGAGATTGAGTGTCAGTTCCCAAAGAGCAATAGCGTCATTCTCCGTCCAGTCGTCCCCGGGAGGTGACACGTTGACAAGCGCGCACTCGATGGCCTGGCATGGCAGCTGGAGCTCCGCCTGCGTGATTGGCGCCACCTGTTGGCGCGGAATGAAGGCGGTGTCGCCGAAATCCATGAAGAATACTTCCACTTGCTCTTGGTCTGGCATCACGTGCATTATCCACGCCCGATGCCACCTATTAGCACAACACAGAATAACAACCTATGTGATAGTTTATTCTGTTCTGCAGAGAATGAAATATGATTGCAACTGTGGGAGTCTGTTCTCCAGATATATATTGGGTTCAATCCTACTATGATGCCCATAAACACTCATCACCACAAGCCTAACCCGAACCTAAACTAATCCTTATCCAATCATGTACGTACAGGACTCTAAATTAAGATTGTTCCTATATTATATACTGTGTGGATGCTCAGTGCAAATTATACTTCATACATGTTTAATATAAGGCCACATTGGGTACCCAACACAAACTTTGGTCCAGTGTGACACAGATTTCTCATACAGGTACACATAGGCACAGAAGCCTCATATCTAGCACAGGCACATCTGTGACTGTTTTGGTGAGAGACAGTGCAACGAACCTTTGCTCCACAAAATAGTAGGCAAGGCAAGGGCTCTTAGTAATCATGTTGACTGTGCCAATCCGTGTAGCGGGGTCAGATTCATTCAGCTGGTTTAGTAAGTCTTCGAACTGTTTCTCTGTAGCCCTGCGCTAAAACACATGAACAAATAACAAAACATTTGCCAAATATAAATTTACACGTGAAGAGGTTTGAAGCAATAATCGAAAAATTGAACTGAATGAGCTATGACGGGAGGCTGCATCACACCTGTAAGAAGAGGCAGTTAGGTGTCATCACTGCAGTCACCCACACGTCTTCATATTCTCCAATAGGCAGAATGTCAGTCTGGCAGACCAACCCTTCATCCAACCTACAAATGTTATGCATAAACAAAACAGAAATACAGCAGGAATTTTGCATTCAAATTTTCTTTCCTGTAAATTTATTCATGACAATCATGGATCAAATGCTAATGCATATCCAATATATATCTTGCTAAACATCCATAGCTAGAAAACCTTTTATAAATTTTGATAATTTTTTTTAGATCTTATTGAGAAGCCCAATGTGAATACAAATCAGAGCCACTGTGTTGCTATCGATAAGCGCCGGACCAAGAAGCCATTAATATTGTGAAAATATCTGTGCACAGGGAAATTTATGCATGCATGTAAGATCACGGCCCGCCTACTTTGCCATGTCAGACTCGTGTATCCTGTCGGGCAGGCTTAAGATTCCCTCGCATTTCTCATAAAGGTCCTCTAGGTGGGATGGGTTATCCACCCCTAGTCCTTGCTTCAAGATCTCCTTCCTCACGTTGAACTCGTTGGTGAACACCTGTGTGTTAAAAGTTACACGTGTTTATTGCTAGCAGGGATATAAATACATATATTATAAATACTTGTAGACTAGACGAGTATAGGATGAGACTATGTTAACAATTTAAGTTTCCATGACTTTTGTACTGTCCATCTGATTTTCCACCTAACCACCGCACCTAACCAGCCTGGAGACTTTTAATAAGTTGTACTAAATTTGGCACTTACAACCACTTAAATTGAATTGATATGAAAGCTGCAAATCAGTTTGAGCGAACATCAACATATATTATAAAGACATATATGTATATATATATAATATATATATATATATATATATATATAATATATAATATAAGAGAGAGAGAGAGAGAAGAGAGAGAGAGAGAGAGAGACGGAGAGAGAGAGGAGAGAGAGAGAGAGAGAGAGAGAGAGAAGAGAGAGGAGAGAGAGAGAGAGAGAGAGAAGAGAGAGAGAGAGAGAAGAGAGAGAGAGAGAGAGAGAGAGAGAGAGAGAGAGAGAGAGAAGAGAGAGAGAGAGAGAGAGAGAGAGAGAGAAAGAGACGGGAGAGAGAGAGAGTACGAGAGAGGGGGAGGGAGGAACGGAGGGAGAAGAGAGGGAGGGAGGGAGGGGGGGAGGGAGGAAGGGAGAGAGAGAGTGAGAGAGAGGGATAAAGAGAAAATAAACATATAATAAACCAATGACATATGAGAATAAACATGTTGAATTAACTAATGTGCCTTTATTCGAAAGCACTGAATTTCCGACTATCCTGTCTTGATATATGCGCATGATTTACTGTCACACTGCGTTTACTACCTTGATGGAAGGTAGGTAGTTTCTCTTCACGAGGGGTTCCAACCACAGCGTGTTACCGAGCGTCATGCGAATCATGCCATCGAGCTGCTGCCTGTAGACTAGCTTGTGGACCTCCATGTTAGCACCGGCCGGCCAATCCATGTCGTTGTCGTCAGGCTTCACGCAACAGATGAACACCTCTACGGCTTGGAAGGGTATGGTGCTGAAGCGGTCAGCCAGCTTGAGCAACTGCTTTACCTGCACAAGCACCATGGTTGCTCACGATCTACTTCAGCTTGTGCATCTGCAGCCTAACTCTACCGCTGTAAATACTACTATCTTCACACTGTACATCTCCTACCATCTGTACATACTACTATCTTCACACTGTACATCCCCTACCATCTGTACATACTACTATCTTCACACTGTACATTCTCTACAATGTGTGCTGACATCATAACGTACACCAAAATCCCTCCTTGTGTAAGTGTATCCACCCGCGGTATGGTACCATGTAGACTCTTCTTTCAGTAGCGGTAGAAATTGAATACACATGGTGTGTTACACTGTACTGCACCAGATAATGAGTAACGATAAATGATATCTCAGCTATGATTCAGGTATTAGAATGAGGTACTTTCGACGTCTTCAAGTATCTTCAGTAATATAGCCTAACGGTGGACCGACCTGCACTAATTCATGCAAGACAAACAAAAATTCGAATGGGTACTGCCAAGTACAACATTCAACTCTGATATGTATACCATAATTACAATTGTTGTTAAAATTATTTCGCTGCCTCGGATTAAATTTACCATGACCGTCCTGTATGGCCCGTCATCGACATAGTGAACCCTCAGAGTGTCCTTGCCCTTCGTCGGCTCTTCGCTGAGAAATCGGTCGACACGAGCGCGATGAGGAATGCCCTTCTCATCCTTCAGCACACACAGATCGCCGAGTTGCGGAACCCCTGATTTATGTACCATGAAAACACATTCCATTATTAACGTCCCGGCGCAGAATAACTCAACACGCAATCTTATATCTACAAAAAATGAAAAAAAAAGCCATGCCACGGCTAAAAAGAAAAAACTTCCAAATCACGGTGAAATACATTCGTTTAACACTAACAGTGACTATTTCCTCCTCACTAGTGCTCTCCGCAGGTGCCCGCAAAGAGACGGCCTCGGCAGTGAGATAGCTGCGACCACTGAGACGACTGTTAATTAGCTGTCGAGTCTGTCCACTCACCTAGAGCCTCACAGTTTGCTTGAACAGCATAGTACATGTCTAGATCCATTATCAACTCCTCATAGGTGCCACCCATTTTCACAGCCGGATCCAATCCACTGTGGTACTCGAGAATTCGCACAAAGAAATGGCAGACGTCAATCACTTCAACCACAAATATCTGAAATGTTGTTTAAAAGTCACGTAACAGTAACCTTAGATGTGCAACAATGGCTAAACGATTTTACTCTGCAGATTGAATCGTTTAGGGAAATACTGAGAAAATGTAGTTATACTGTAATGTAGTAGTAGTAATAATTTTCCTACAACCGAAATTGCTGCTCGAGAGACCAGGCTGGCACCCACTTAGTGGTGCAGCCACTGTTTGACTACGAGAGTAAGTTTATGCAGTCACTGAAGACACAACTGATGTACAGAATCATGCACTGAACTATATACAGGCGGCATATTCACGAAAGAACCGACCGAGCACACATCCAACGTCCTGCAAGCCGTACCTTCACAATGCCAGTCTTGGGTAGTTTCGCATAGTATGGTCGCGCCCCGGGCGTATCTACCGACTTGAACAGTACGTGGCGCTGAGAACACACATGCTGGTGGCACGAACCGAACGCCTTCATGTACGCGCAGAGCTCCGACCACGCCTTGTTGTCTTCGCGTCCTTCCCTGACTCCGGCGACGAGTTCTGCCAGCTTGGCCGGAACGGGCTGACGCAGACGCTTCAGCAACAGCTCCATGGTAACAGCACTCACTGGCGTCACGAACACGACGGACGAGCAGCTTGCCACAGGTGCACCCTGAATGAACGCCATTGCAACTCTCACGTAGACGCACGCCGACGCCCGCCCGAACGTCAGTACGATTACAAGCGTTCTCAGATTCTACAGTCTGTTATGAATTGGAAATTTCAGTGGACTGCTTGTGTTGCAATTTCGAATTTAACTATTGGTTAGCCTCATGAGTTGAATTTCTCTACCAGAGGTTAGAAAATCTTGCAACTGCAACAATGGCACAACACATTAATGTAATGTATAGAATTAATTGGATTTGTGTATCACTTTGAATACTCACAATAGCTGCTGGATTTGTACTCACTTTGACGAGCTGTGGTGCGAAGTGGCTCTGCATGCAGCCAAGGCGGTTGCCAAACATTATTTTGCTATCGAGATCCCAGTGAATGACTAGGTTTGCATCGGTGATCAGCATGAGATGAATGTTCGTGTTCGAAAGCACTGTAAACAAGCAAGTGGGATAATCTAGAGAGACACGCATTGTGTATTTCAACTTATTCACAAGTGTACTGGTCTATAACTATACATATCACTACTGCTACTATTGTACGGATGATCATTACCACCAAAATAACTATTTAAGTTTCTGAAGCATACCTGTGTGATATACATGTTAAAAAGGTCAAGTAATGACAAAATCTAACATATATAAATCCAACTTAAATAGTTGGAGGATATAACTGTGTGGGGTCCTATATCGGCTATGATCATTGTTTTTGTTCAAGGCTTATTGCTATACACTGGCATAAACCATTCTGAGGCCCATTATCAGAACCAAATTTAGGCTCAACATTGGTAACATTAACTTTGGCCATTAACGTAGGCCATTGCCAGAAACATCTTAAAGTTACGTGAATAAAAAATCCTAGCAAATTTCCTTTTAACATTATGACTACCTAGACCATCTCTTAACTATAAAACCAAGATGAATGCAACGCAATTACACAAAGAATTGTAATTATAGTGATATTATATTTTATACTGATTCGCGAGAACCAACTGATTCGTGTTTTTCATGGACAACGCGTCAGAAACACTACTCATCTACCGATCGTGTTTTGAAACAAACATTTACAAGTGGCGATTGTTTTCTTGTTTTGCATGATCGCATGTGTGTTGCTGTGTAGAATAATGTCTTGCAGTGCAAAATAAAAAAATGATTTTTTCATTAGTTATTATTTATATGTGTAAACTATCATAATATGCATAAATCTCTGTCATGTATAATAAATGTATATAAATTTGAGTTTTGTGATAAATTCTCATCCAGTCAGTAGCCTCATGACAGCAAATTATCAAGTTCCTATTATCATGTTTTCTTATAGCTGCGATTCGTTTCTGTCAACACTATTCTCGTAACATTAACATTATTCGTAAGTGCTATCTTAGCATTATCATTAGGCTTAACTTTACGATATTTCTCACAACGGACCCCTGGTTTCTGCACAATATTTACAATAAGCAATTACTTTGAATAGAATTTTGATATCACGCTATTACAATTAGTAATGCAGTTATTTTACATACACAGGAACACCCTGCCAGTGCCTTTGCTTCCAGCTTCCAACCATTCCCGTCGCAGGTCCTGTATATTGTTGTGTGCCATGGCTCCAACAGCAACCAGTATAGAATCGTTCGAGTCGATTTGCGAGGACACTAGCTGAAAGCAGATATGACTGTAGGTAGGCAATACAAAATTTAGCATTAAGTGTGCAGCATACACTAATATAAATCCAACATGATTATTACCCAAGGAAAACCAGACAGGCTATGAAGTAATTATGTGTACCTGAATTTTTCTTACACAAAGGGAACATTATACAAGTATAGATTGGTACCTGTCGTAGATCATTAACATCCTGTTCATTGTTGACGAAGATGATAACTCTCTTCTGTATGTCAGTAAGATTCCTGAGAATGCCATTCAACTCCACTGACCTGTTTTCTGCAGTACACACCTATAGGCAAGTTTAATTTCATTATATAGTATGTCCTAGTGAAGCTTATAGAGTCTATGTCCCCCAGGGTACCCTCCGATAGTATGGTTCGATATATCGGAACATAACCTGGTAACTATCTGATATGGTTAGGGTTAGGGTTAGGGAGTAGGCGTAGGCGACTCCCTAGACTCGTTAGTGGAGTAGGCGAGGTACAGTCCGGCACATTAGATAGTACCAGGGTACGTTCCGATATATCGAACCGTACCCAGGGTACCCTCCGATAGTACCCAGGGGGACATGGACCCTCTCAGCCCTAGTGAAAGACAATGTCACAAATAAATAAAGCGATTTCCTTAGAGCAAACAGCAAAAATAGAGAGATAATTTTATACGTGAGAATGAACATATGCATGCGTGTATATTATTGACTACTTCAAATGAATATATGGAAAGGCAGAATTTAAAAGGATCATCTCACAAATAAATAGAGCATTTAATAAATGAAGACAAATTAAGACTCACCTGATGGCGTACATATTACTGATGCATAAAAATTATTACGAGATTCTACTGTGACATGCTATAAAACATTACATGAACAGCAAATGTGCACCTGCTATCTTGAGATTCGTTAGAATGGAATTTTCAAATAATCCCACAAAACAATTGCCACATGATGCAAATATTTATAGACTGGTACCTATCTTGAAATGTATACAAAGGTAACACAGTGTAGAGGCATGGTACCTGTCAATAGCATCTCGAGAGAGGGAAAATTTCACCCTAGTTTTGTTGACATATGTAAACAAATCTAATTTGAAATGTGGATGCGTGCACACATTGGCAAAAAAGACACGATGTGCAAGTCTTCTATGACATGTTAGCATTCTGTTGGTTATTAGTGTTATGCAAGGCATACTGGTAAATATCAGAACGGTCAAGAAAATATGAAAACGGTTAGGAAAAACGTGAGAAATCCTCGTTGTGAGCTACAATCAACATGCAGTATACAACGAGGGGTGAAGCCACCACAGGTGGCAGTTTAGTCTAGGTTTCCCACCTGCACATTCTGCTTTACACGAGCATAGACGGCTGCTTCAACCATGGAGGTGATGATGACTAAGGGTTCAGGCATGTAGACTTGCAAGAAGTTGGCAACACCTGGAGTCCAGTAGACACCAAAGCAGAGGATCTGCAACGGGATGCAGTTGGAAGGGCGCTGCTTCAGCACAGCTGCAAACCTAGACATCAGTGATTTCACCTTTTCGGTAAACTCCTCTACCAGAACATCAGCATCATGTAGAACCTGAAAAGAATGTACAGTCATAAGTGCCCTACCAAATAACGTATAGCTTCGTCTAGGTTGACTAGAACAGTGCTATACACTAACAATGTTTACATGGTTAAACCTAATTAACGAAATACATGCGTGAATAAACAAAATTAAATCAATCAATCAGTCAATCAATCACTTGCATAAAAATGAATAGTTTGATGTCAGAACTCTGTGGCAGACGGTGCACATTAAATTTCATGCAGTACACGTACTACTCCAGGGGTAGCTCTACTTTAGAACAATACCAATTACCTGGAAATGCAAACTTACTATTATGTAAGTAGATTCAATTCTTGTGATTGAAGCAAGTCGTGAATATGACCTAACATGGAGGGGAGAGTATTTCTAGATTGACATATAGCATAGCTCATTTTTAAAGTTGCTTTAAGAGCTGCAGTGTACCAGGTAGCAGAGTCGATCCAGGTTTGTGTGAGATTTCTGCAACATTCGTTCCAGACTGTATGGGGTTGTCACCAGCAGTTCACAGCCATTAATCAAGGAGACCTGAAACACAATAAATCTCTTTAGTTATAGTACACTGAAGATCTGCTTACTGGGACTGCAACATTTTTGTAGAAAGTATTGAATCTCAGTCACCAGAATTCAAAAACTAATCAGATTGTGCAAGGCATACTTGTACTTGCGAGACAGCTTGGCCACAGACAGACAATTTAAAAATGGCTGCAAGTGTCTAGCAAATGTCAGAGTGAGGACTATAGCAATGCCCAGCGTTACGAAAGTCACGTGCCAAAAAGAATGTTCACCCTTTTTGATGGGAAAATCCGTTCACTCCATTATTTAAAAATTAAGTAAGAACGAATTGTTTAAATTTGTATTGTGAAATTTGAGTAAAGTGATCATAACTTTACGTATGGGTGAATTTACGTAACCCTATCTATCTTAAGGCAGTGTATAATTACTGTATAATGGCACAAAAAATGTATAGACCATATGACAAATAAATGATTTAGGATATCATAAGTAAAGCAACACAACTAGATACGTAGGCTCTAGGAACTAGATTGAAATATATCGGTAGTTTCGCCTCTCTCTTCCACTCTCGCATCAACTTACAATCTGGTTTTCTTCCTGGCCTCCACCATAGACAACGAGAGCACGTGCATGTTGTACAATGCCCTCACAGATCTTCTCACAGCAGTCATATATAGCCAGGGCTGTCTTCCAAGACGATGTCATGATAATGGCCAAAGGCTAAAAAACAGCCAACGTACAATATTGCCTTGCATTAATGGATAATATGGTTTACAGCTAACATGGTACCAAATCCCTCTAATATAAAGATGTCATATAAAGAATGTTTCATTACGATATTTACAATCTTTACTAACATGCTGGTAAGTTACTCCGAACTGGCATACATATATAAGGCATACAGCTGGATACTACAATGGCAAGCTCACATTGCACAACATATCTCAATAGTTGTTCCATCTTCCTTATTTTCTGGTAGAAGGCACAAGCTAATAATGACAGGCATCTACATGATGAACATCTATAGCTAACCATTTCATCCATGTAAATAATCACTCATGAATGCATTACCCCATTGCCCATTGGCAACTGCTTGTGCACATTGGACTGCTGAATCTGTGTCAGCAGAGGAAGAAGATAGGCCAAGATATTTCCTGAAAATCAATAATAAGTGCAGCAACAACTGTATTAGGGGCTGGTCAAACAAAATATGCTGAGACAAATTATAATTTATATTTCAGTATTTTCACTTATACATGAAATTTTAGATGGATTGATTGTTTGTTGTTAGCATGAACATCAATGATTGAATTCATTCTTTTAGGGAAAGATATGGCTTAACTTAGGTTAAATCAACAATTCATGACACCAGAGCAAGTTGCCAGGTTCATAGCAAGGCAACTTTTTATCACCACTTTTTATGTGGATCACGAAAGGATACATAAATTGTACATACGAAATTCATGGACAGGACACAGATGCAAACCAGTTAGAAGAATCATAACGTTTTATTGTGGACATCGTTCAGCTTTTCAGGAACCATGGTCAGTAACCAGGGCAGCCACGGGAGTTTCCAGCAATACCACAGTAAAATTTAGACCATTGACCATTACACTTGAACAACGAACTGTATCATAAACACCCAGCTGTGTCAGGTGAACTCATATTACTATTAGGAAGTACCCATACCAGAATGAGAAAGTGCCACCACGTTACGCCCTCGTAGAATGGCAGGCCAGCAATATTTCTGTATCCGTTCTGGATTCATGAAACCCAAGGCATTCAATCTCTGCAACAATTGTACAGTTAAGCAAAAATGCACAACAGAATATCAAACACCATATTAAACAGAGAGCCATCGTCAGAAATTCCTAAATAGTTACAATATCATGTAGATATGATACCTAAAGTGATATTACATTTTAAATAAAGTGTCATGCAAAATTTATGCCATTTCAGACTTACAAATGCCATGCCACTATTTATTATGTCTCTGATGATGATCTCCAACTAACTATTCTCACAAGCAGATCAGATGGAATTTTTATGAAGAAGTGCTACAGTGATGACACTTATAAAATTACAACTATCACTTTACCACCTTCACAATTACAACTGCAGCTGTTTCTAGTACCGATAACACCACTGCGTGTTGTGCTGTTGCTCAGTGGCTATCACTTTTCTTGCCTTCTAACTAACCTAAGCACTTACTATTCAACACCATAGGTAGGTACTTACGCTCTTTATGTCCTTATGGAAGGATGCTTGTGAGAGGTATGAGATAGGCTGTAGAGGTTTTTCTCCATGCACAAGTACACCAGCAGTCTCTATAGATTCTCTCAGATCAGGTGTCACATACTAAAGCACAGGTAACAAATTCAGATCAGTTGCATTTAACCTAATCTGGGTGTGTTAAAAAATAGAAATGTGTTTAGAATGAGAATGGTTAGAAATGTTTATTATCTAAGTATATATTAGAAATATGCCACTTGACACTTTTCCCTTTCTTCTTAAAGTGATTACGTCACCGTAAATAGTAAAAAATAAAAACAATATTTCCACTTTTTCACAAAATATAAGTAATTCTGTTCACTTTTTATGGTTAACAAAAATTTGTAAAAAAATGGCAACAAAAATTTTACAAATTTTACCATAGAAAATTTGTTACGTAATCACTTTAATTGATGTTAAAACTTTTTTCAAGTCAATATATCAATACATTTGTAAACAATGTTATTACACATTGCTATAACATGTCAAATTGTTATACATTTTGAAAATTATAATTAAAGACATTTCAATTTGTGACATTACAGATGGCTGTATTGTTGTTGACAGATACATGGATGAATGCTCACACTACTAGAACTACACGCTATATCGGAGAATCAGATTACCTTAAAATAAAGGCTTTAAAGAAATATAGAACTTTCATTCAAGCATGCCAATGTTATCACACACCTGATAGGCTGTGAAAACGTCATTGAACTCAGTCGTGCCGGTCTTGAGAAGGTTTTCCGATAAGAACCTGCTTGTAGCAGTATCCACCACGTTCAAATCGATGTCTGACATACTCGTGTCTGCAGAACGGCTCTGCACATCAGGACACTGGATGACCTCAGGAGAGTGTTCAGCAGAGTGGGACTTCTGAGACTCGTTGACTGCAGACGCAGTACTGCTACGAACGCTGGCGCGTATCACTGACCCTGTGCTGCTATTGGCATCCAACATCGTGCTGATAAATGAAAACACGTTAATAAAAAAAACTTCCATCCCAAGAATGACTGCATTTTAGTGTCTACTCATAGATGTTACTCTTGAATATATGCAGACAATAGATTAATGCAATCAAAATCAATTGTTGTAAATCCGAACCAACCTCGTAAGGTGAGATGAATTTCCAATTTGCATCCTACTGCCACTAGGAGGGTCTGCTGCCCATTTCCTCTGCTTCTCTATGGCAACATGTCTTGGCAGACGTGCTGTCAGAGATTCCTGCGATGCAGGGCTTGAGCTGCATTTGCTGTCTCCAGGAATGCTAGTATTAGGTTTGTTATCATAGGCAATTGCACTAGACTCTTTCTGGCTCTCAGATAAATGTCGTTTTTTGTCGATTGCACCATTGTTGTTTTTTCTCAGAATATCTTCAGACATCTCACTTGGATCAGCCAGGATACTTGCTATGGGTGATTTGTCAGCAACAGGACTAGGGTTTGCAATGTTGCTTCGTAAGATATCCCCATGGACAGCTGTGGGACACGGTTCCTTGCTTTGCACCCTCATATCATCGGCAACAGCATCTGCCAATGTCACCTCAAATGTTTGAGAAATCTCCATATCACTCGAGTTTTCATCAGACGTCTCCGGTCTTCTACGAGTTGATGTAACTGCCTCCTGTGTGACTGCAGTCTCTGTTCTCAAACCATGGCTTTCATCAGACATCTCAGGTCTTGTGCGAGTTGACGTAATAGCCTCTTGTGTGACTGCATTCTCTGTTCTCAAACCATGGCTTTCATCAGACATCTCTGGTCTTCTACGAGTTGATGTAACTGCGTCTTGTGTGATTGCAGTCTCTATTCTCAAACCATGGCTTTCATCAGATGTTATATCGCCACATGCCACTGCATCATAAATGCTGGGCATAACTGTGCGAGGCATTTGTGAGTTCCCACGCTGCATTGAAGCTTTGTGCTCTAAGGGTGAAATAGAATAATCACATTTTGTATTAGATTATCATTTGCAATTGACAGATGCTGAATATACGTTTCTTAAAAGATCACAAAAGCATAGCTTTCTACAATGTAAGTATTGTTTTAAATAAAACCAGTTTTAAGTGAGCAACATAACAATTTGTGCTGTTCAATAGTAAGTGGAAATTGAAAATTTCCTTTAACCCTTTGAGTCCCAGAACTATTTGCAAAATTTCCACGAAAATTATTACCAATAGATTTTTAACTATGTGTCTTTCATTAATGGGTTTAGACAAGCAAAACTATACATTTTCTTGAAGCTATCTTCATATTCTATGCAACCAACATATTTTGGCTACTAAAAGTCCAATATGCATACGGGGGCCATCTTGGATTTTGTGAAATTTGCATAAATAGTTATGTAATGTTTTCAAAATCCCATTGAATGCATTTCTATCACACAAAAACAATGCAAAATACATCAGAAAACAATGCAAATACATCAGAAAACAATGTTCAATAGAAATAACCACTTTATATACGCTTTACAGCTTTAGTCATTCCCGGTACACCCAAAATCCAGTCATCACTAAAGTAATCTCGGATACTAGGAAGTTTATGAATTGCCATAGCTGATGATGTGGATGCCACACACGTCACTACCTGATTCTGGGGTTGGCGAATTCATAATACAGGGATTTCACTATGAGAATCTGAGTCTAATTCACCCTCACTAACATATTCTGTGTCACTTTCACTTTCACTTGGAATATCTGACAACAACCTTAGTGCTTCCTCAGCTGAAAAACGATTTCTCCGGCTCATATTTCACTTATTTGTCCGAAAATTACATCTAAATCATCTGAAAACACTTCTTCATGGGCGCAGCCATGTTTAGAGACATTCGCTAAAAACCGGGACTTGTCTCAGGAGGGTTGCAAACAGCGGCTGTAACTTTTTATATTTTCAGCTGTCAAAGTCAGCTGATAAAACAAAACATTGATTACGTCATAATTTTGTCTTACTAGTTTTACAAATTATTTCAATCAAAACACCATGTACTGCCGTAGTTTAATAAAATACGTATTTGCGGGTATTTGCAAAAACCGAAACAAGGCATAGGGTGTCTGTAAGCCAAGTTATGATGAAATAAAGATCGTGACGTCAGACCGCGCCAAATGGCGCGTTCGGGACTCAAAGGGTTAAAATCTAATGATACGTGTTCATCGACATACTGAGAGGTGCTGAGCTGGTAAAATATTGTGTTAATCTACAGAAATGGAATTATTAAGATTCTAAACATCATGATGCAAGTACTCATGTATGGCTTAATTAACCTATAATATCAAGCCAAACCAACATTAAGCAGAACACAGAGAAATTAAAAAGACAAATCACGAAGCAACATAAATACGAAAAGAATAACACAATAAATGCTAAACTAAATAAGCTGCTCCCTATAGGCTTCAGACTAACCTGCTACTGAAGCTTTGTCAATGTCTTCTGTAAACGAGGAATCACTAGGCATCACTGGAGGTACACCTCTATGGCTATGCCCTTGTATTATGTTTAGTATCATAGCACGCTTTGCTGCTTCCTGCGTGGTCGTTGTACTTGGTGCTGCTGTTGTTGTTTTTGTTGTTGTTAGTCCCGTCGCCATCGTCGTCGTCGTCGTCGTCGTTGTTGTCGTCGTTGTTGTTGTTGAGTGCTGTTTAAAGTATTGCTCTACCACATTTCTTCTATGAAATGTGCTCGTCTCAGAAGAAGCAACATCTCTACATAATCCCCGCCCTCTGCCAGGAGAGTGCTGAGTGAAATTCAAAGGCATACGTGACATCTGATTAGGTGATTTTGGACGAACTTCCAATGTGTTTTTCAAATCTTTTTTATTGGCGCAACTTGCACGCTGTCTGGAATTTTGATTGACCGTGCCTTGCAGAGTCCCTCCCACAAGTTTCTCGGGCGATGTCTGTCGAACAGACATGCCAGGAATTGACAGCTCCGGATGAAAAGATGTCGGTGGGATGGCAGGTTGTATGGGCAGATGAGGACTACGAACACCCAGTAGTTCTTTAAGTTCACCTACATCATACGTCACATCATTTGAAAAGTGGGCCTTCTGAGAAGAAGTGGGTGGTAAATCATTGCAGGTCCCTTCCGCTCCTGTCGATTTCTGCCTTGTGAGGTTTCTTCGTTCAGTCATTTGCTGGTACTCTACCTGATCCTTTGGCCTCTGTGGGGCTTGGGAATGAGACAGATGGTTCACAACACCCTCAGCTTCTCTGACTACTATGAAAGAAAGTGACAAAATTCACTTTATTATGCACTAATGAAAAACAAATCTATATTAGTAACTAAATCATAATTAGGTTGAGCATAGTCATCGGTATTAAAACGTGTACATATTAACGAAAGTGGTTTTCTTGACAGATGCATCATTGGATTATAAAGTCAATTAGAATGAAAGTTGCAAACTATTGAAATTTTGAGAGATAAGCACAATATTACGCAGAGTAAACAACTTTAATGACAGAATAATTAATTACACCACCTTTGACCTTGTATTTGGATTTAGTTGGGGGCACTCGGTCTTCCGACACAACAGCATAACCTTCTTCTACCAGTTTCTCATTCAAGCAGAACAGATGGCTTTGTATGCTCAGGTATAACTTCCCATGGAGTGTTCCCACGTTATCCGTTTGTTGAACAGCTACCTTGCAACCACCAGCCTCTATGCAATAGCAAGGAAATGATTATATCATCACTGCTTTTAAATAGTCACATCTGTGTATGTAATTGTGAAGAAAAACTTTCAAGATAAACCAATAATGAAGATGGAAATGTTTATATAACTGCCCCTTGACAGATGCACATGCATCATTGACAATGACAACCCATACCTTTCACTAGCTTGTTAACAAATTGCACAGCCGACTCATCCCATTCCTGGCATGTACTGGAATTGATATGGTATAAGATTTACTCAATCATCCAACCACAATCATTCAACCCAAGATCACTTTATACATATACAGTAGAAGTCCGAAAATCCGGACTTCTCGGGGATTGGGTCGGTCTGGATTTTTGGATCTTCCATATTCTCGGGCAGTGCTTTTAAAAATCAAATTTAAGGAGAAATAAAGAAGAGATGAACAGGTAAATTTTGATGGTTTATTCATTTGATAATACAGCATGCTTCATTTATAAAAACGAGCCGTTTTAAAGAAAAATAAAGTCAGCACTTGACAACAATTTTCACTATAAAAGTGCGTGTAATGCTTGAAATCATGTTTAATAATAAAAATTGTAAAAGAAAAATACAGTAAACAAATAAAAGCAGAAGTTATTTTATACAAATCAATTCTATATTTTTAGTTATAGTGTTTAGTATTAACAAAACAAAAAACCGTTAAATTTAAAATGTTTGAGTTTTCGAAAAGTCCGGGTTCTTGCCTTTAATATTTAATGTCTATGTTTGAATGAATTTTCCTATTCCTACAACACTATCTATATGCCAACAGATATTGAAACAGGCACCTTGTATATATATCACTTACCTCATGTTTGGGTAGAAATCACCATCTTCTCCCTCATCGATTTCCATTGAAACTGGCTTGATTCCACACAACACAAATTCCTTAGCCTGGAAGGGTAACTTAACGAACTCCTGTGGGACAGTCATGGCACTACAATAATCAACAAACAAAGAAAACAAACTGTCACGTGTGGTCTCACACACACAGATTGATGATTTTTATAAATTTTCTATTGACAGAAGCAATGATGACAGCTAAGAAATAACTTTATTACCAGTGCCATGGTATGGAGATACGCTCGCCCAGATCTACTAAGTAGCACCTGAAACAATATGACATAATAAGTATTTATGATCTGTCTACCACCTGTAATAATTATATACAAAAATAATAGTAATATATAGCAGTTAGTGTTTATATCGAATTAAAACAGACGCTGAGTTAATCATACTTCCATAGAGGCACAATGCATGCCTATAGGTGAAGATTTTATTTTAGATTTAACATAACGTTACTGACTTACTGTGCAATACGTAAATGCTTAGCTGATATGAAGATGTTATCGATTCTGGCGCGGTACCACTTTCTATCAGATGGTCGCTGGCACACACACAGCTATACACAGAAGAGGGATTCATGACTTCAACAGGCACATTACATAATATAATACAATACTGCAAGAGCATTCTGGAAGTTCTAGATATAAAACTCTGTTTAAAAACAGCTGCATCACAACCTTGTAACGAGAGTACCACAAGTATTGTAGAAGTGAATGTATGTATGATGAATATTTACATAAATAAGCAATTTTTACACCTGCAGAAGAAATATAAACAAATGCACTCTTTTCTGTAAGCATTAAAGCAGTCAGCTAATGAGTAAACTATCAAAATATACCTGTTCATCTCTTCTTTATTCCTCCTTAAATTTGAATTTTAAAAGTACTGCCCGAGAATCTGAAAAAACCCGGACTGACCAAATCTCTGAGCACTCCGAATTTTTGGACTTCTACTGTACTGAGCAGGTAGAGTGTTGTCTGTACATATTCCTTTATTATGCTAATTCTAATACATAAAGTGGTTACTGTATTTGAGCATTACCTCCCCCAGCTGTGGTCTGCTTTGTGTATCCATAGCAACTAAACTTGAAAACTCCTCATTGATAAGCTGTGAGAGATAGGCAAACAATCTAGGCTCCGATTCTTCATCATCGCTAGATGTGGGCACCTCCCGTACCATGAACAGACCTGGATTCCTCACCTGGCCAAGACAAGTAATGTGTGTAGTTCATAAAAACGGAGCAAACAATATTTGCATTGTTGCAATAGCAACAAAGATAGTGCTATGGAGTGTCACTGGTCGTCTTACGAGTACGGAGTAGTGTTACGTTGTGGCTGCCTCTGCCTCTACTGCTGTGATCGCTCCTACTTCCGCACCTTCCGGCTGTGGTTAGGCCATCCTTAAAAAATTATATGTTTGCTGTCCTCCGACCGACCCACGGAAATAGCCGCGACCCAAAAGTTTTTTTTGACATTTTGGGTTCCATTTTTTTTTTTTTTTACATTCCTTATAGTTAAGACTGAAACACAAAGCATGTGTGGCAAACATGAGGACAGACTTAAAATAACTATTATGCCTCAAAAAAAGAAGACCTACCTACCTACCCATTAAAAAAATCATGGGTCGGGGGACAACAAACATAGAATTTTTTAAGGATGGCCTTAGCAGTATAGCTGCTAACTCTGCTGCTGCTGCTACTGCTGCTGCTGCTGCTGCTGCTACTGCTGCCACTACTTTTGTTACTCGCTTGAATCCGATTTGGCCGACTTAACACTACAGTGGCTTTTATTGCTGCAGCTAATCTTAATTAAGCCACTGCTAGTAGCACAACTGGTGATGCTGCTGCTGCTGCTGACACTATAATTGCTACCGACTTGCTCGAGTTCACTTTGCCCGACTTGCTACTGTGGTGGCTTCTACTACTCAATTTGCTGTTGGTGATCTTGATACTGCAAGATACTGCAAGGGCGCACAAGTGCTGCAAGAGAAGTCTCCACTCCCTACAGTCATATAGATTGATTTGCTATTCTTCTACTTCTAATTTCCCAACTTTTATTTCAACTTTTGAACAAGGGAGTCCGCAGTCTGAAGTTCAAAATTAAAGATATTAAAACAATAACGCATGTGCTTATTTTGAAGATTCATGCGGTTGCACGTCTGCCAAATTTTCTTTGGACATTAGCTGAAAAAATACGGTAATTCCGCAAGGCTAGTTAGTATGGCAGAATTTTCAGGGAGCAGGGTTCTCCCTACGTTGCGCAAACGGGGCGCGCGCGCCCCGTTTGGGAAAACTCCCCCCTGTTTCAATCGTTGCGCCCCGTTTAAATTACCTCCACCCCGATTAAATTCCACCACAATAAAAGTTTGCCAGCGCGGGAATCGATCGTCAAGAAGTACTATTCGACCAACAGGTCACCCGGCGCGTGTATTTTTACAGTACCACGCATGCACTGCAGACAATTGCAGACAATACAACAGTCAACCTGTCCCACGCCTAACACTAACTGTACACCGACTCGGCTATATTTTATATATACAAGAACCCCAAATACCGTCTATGGTGTGGTGGCGATTTTACGCATTAATTAGTGGTACGGTAAAAAACACGCCCCCTAGTTTCCCTGCAGTGTATACTACAGTCTCTCGGATTGGATAACACTCTACATGATCTTACCAATAGACCAATTATATGCCTGATAATACAGACCAATGACTTATCGCGTTTCAGAGAAAGTCAGATGCCCACATTCTGGAACGTTTTGGGTGCTACCGTTCATTCAACAATATTGTCCGACATGTCAAAAAATTAGTATCCAAATTGCCTACTCGAATCGAATCGAATCGAAAATGAGCGATTTTGAATCGTGAATCGAATCGGCCGCTCGGATCCCGATTCACGATGCACCGCGATGAATCGTTGCAGCCCTACTCAGAATGCCTGCAAACGACGCATGTATTGTACAAAACAAGGGCAAACATGAATTTGTTTATGTTTGGTTTTTTATAAAATTAAAGTGTCAATGACACTGTAGCTCACCACAAAAAAGGACACTTGAGTGAGTAAGAAGAAGTCAGTTTTAATTGAGCAACCATCGACGTACATTATAGAAACGATTGCCATCTGTATATCGCAATAATAATTTATAAACCAAAATGAATCACAATTTGTGACGGTAGATGGCGCTATACCCGCTTTGTAGCAATGGCGCTTGAAATAAATAGGTTATGCTGCGTTCCGACATGTTTTGTAAATCTTTACTCTAATATAGACGTTTTATCGGCAGAGTGGAGAGGAAATACCAATTTTTGCATTAAAGATATTGTCAATGAAATCTTGTAAAACGAACCAGACGAGTGTGACACCACAGACTGTTTGTGTTTATATAATATGCTATATAATTGCCAAACCCTACCTAATTTGCATAATTTTTTTTTAAATATCAAAACCCCTAGCCCTTATTCATTCACATACCAAAAATGAGCAAAATCCGTTGAACCTGAACTGACTAATGGCAATTCCCATTTTTGCCAAAAAATTGCCGTGGCTCGAAAGTACGTCGACTGGCGTGCTTCAAAATAGGACGTTCCATATGGGAGCATAGCAGTAACAACTACACCCAATTTCAAACATGTGGGTCAAACGGTTCCTGAGTTATCGTTGACCGAAACCAAATGTTGACGGACGGACGACGGACGACGACCCATGGCAATAGCTCAGCTTGACGATGTCAAGGTGAGCTAGAAATGGACCCACTGTTACCAAACAATCTATTAGGCAAACAAACGTTACATATTCGGACCTTTCAAATGTTTCGTCGGACCTTCCAAAAATATTGATGAAATGTCTCGGACTTGCGGGCAAAAACCCACTATTTTCAGCCCCTGGTAGTGTGGTTTAATAGATTGATCAATGATAAAACTTAACAGAGATTGTTCCCCACAAGCAACAAGGCTTATTCCAGACACGCAAGATCTCTCATACAAGGACAGACTGAATATAATTGAAATACTGAGTATGAGTTACTGCAGGATTCAGGGTTACATGATTGAAATATACTAACTCAAACATGGCCACTACAGCACTAGTTTCAAACTATTACAATTTAGCATTGACGGTAGAAATAGAGAACATGTATGCATATAAATTTAACGAAATAAAATATGCAACTGTTTTACGCCAACACTTATTTGGACTGCTTATGACTGACTTGTGTAATGCAATCTCAGGAAGTTACACTTTAAATGCACTGCCAATAAATTCTGTCAAAGTATGGACAGAGTGGCAAGTCACCGCGTCTTTCTTAACAAGCTGGCATTGGCCCTACTGTCAGTGCCCTTCACCAACAATAGCTAATGGGGCGACGGGGTTAGGGCTAGCAGCTAAGCCCCTCCCAAACTGGGAACTGTTCTTGGTGACATCTAACGAGAGGATTCTGTGCCTTCTTTGAAGGGACGACTTGACAAACCTAGGATAGACATCCAGTATCACCCATGCTATTAAAGTGGCCTGACATGCTTCTAGCCTGCAGTTGAATAAGATAAGATAAGGTGTGATAAGATAAGAAATAGGCTCCAGTGAATGACTGGATAAGGAGTGGTGGAGGTGAAAGGAGTTAACGGCAACAAAATAATTTAGAAAGACAGTCACAGTCTAACAGATACTGGCTGTATTGTTTCTATTGTGAATCACTGGTAAGTGTGAAGTACTGGGAACACAAATAGGTGTACCACCATAGCACCGCATCACACTGTAGCCTAGAGCCAGGCTGTACTGTAATAGGCGATAAGGGACTACAATGTTAGAGCTCATTAATTGCGTGTTAACCCGACTAAGCTGCAATCCTAACGTCAATTTTGCAAAGGTATAGTCGTTTCTGAATAACAGTACTACTCGTAGTACTACTACTACTAGCTCTAGTACTATAGCCCGTGTACAGTTGCCGCAGGGCTATATATATATAGAACATTTTGTGCCAGGTTTCGTAACTGCACCTGTCCCACAATGCTTCCACGAAAAATGGCTCACAAAACGCAAAAAGCCCGATCATTTTGTGTTTTGTGAGCCATTTTTCGTGGAAGCATTGTGGGACAGGTGCAGTTACGAAACCTGGCACAAAATGTTCTATAGCCCGGCCCAAGGATAGAGAACATGGGGTGATGGGTCCCAATATTCCAATGAGCCTAACCCTAACCCTAACAATAACCCTAACCATAACCCTAACCTATTAATATTGATATAATATTATATTTATATTGATGTAAATGAGATTGGTTTTATTGGGACCCATGTTCTCTATCCTTGAACCCCTATGACCACGGAGTACTACAATTAGAATACTGAATAGCGAGGTAGGCCTACCTGACTACTGACTACTGTCAGTGTCAGCGCAAAACTTAGCTCTAGTACTATAGCCCGCTTACATTAACTGCCGCTGGCCAGCTGCTGGCCAGCTGCAGCCGCTGTAGCTCTAGTACTATAGCCCGCTTACATTAACTGCCGCTGGCAGCGGCCACATACATTACATTAACGGCCGGTTACATTAACGGCCAGCGGCCAGCGGCAGTTAATGTAAGCGGCTATAGTACTAGAGCTACAGCCGCTGGCCAGCGGCAGTTAAGGCCGATGAAAGTTGATGTCATGGTTCTCGTCAGCGCCCGCATCAAATTTTACTCCCGCACCAAAAAAGTTCAACACTCATCGCTGACGAAATTCCCGCATCAAAAAGTCCCCATATGAAATTCCCGGCTCAAAAAATCAACAATCTACAGTCAGCACTACATGTATGGAAGACAAACAGTAAAAATTTGAGTAAAAACTGTCCACAAAGAAGTTACGACATTTTTCAATCTTATTTTGCATATGTACAAGACCTGATACCCTCACTTAAGTTCTATTGCAGTATTGGTTTGTATATGAAAGATGAATGTTGATCTAAATCCCTCATCAAAATCTCAACAATGCCTGACGAGAACCATGAAATCAACTTTCATCGGCCTAATGTAACTTGAGTTGTAGTTGTAGTTGTAAGCGGGCTATAGTACTACTACTAGAGCTACGCAAAACTCAAATGAGTTTAGGCCTAATAGTAATAGTAATAGGCCTATACAGTTAAATAATATTGAACACCGACACACCTGTAGAATAGTGATATCCTTCATGCTGCGAATATTATAATGCAGCGCTAGTATATTATTCCTTTCGACTGGAATCTATATATATTCATTATTAATCCAGTCTCCTACTCCAAAAACCATCGCCAACTTTAAAACAAGTGAACACTCCTATAATTATTTTATTTCCTTTTCCTTTATATTATTTTCTATTTAATTTAAGATTTTTAATCAAAACAGTAAGATTATTTTAGGAAACTCAAGTTATAAAATCAGAAATAACAATGTATAAATTCCAAATAATAACTAGACAGGGGGCACTCAAAGAGAGTGCATACCTCCGCGAGCGTGTAACATGAGCGTGAGCGGGGAACCCGGGGCAAAGTGGACCGAAGAAATTTGGTTGGCCAAAACGCTGTGAAAGAGCGAGACAAAGTGAAATGTTTGGCTCTAATCCTTTGGCTTAGGACAAGAACTAACAGGCGGTACAAACAAAGTTAATTAAAAAAGCCGACTTATGAAATAACAAAATAAAAATTTATAAAATAATTTCATTTGGCCCCAGACCCCGGGCCAAATCAAAACCGTTAAGGACAAGGTGGAATGCCATCTACCCATGAGTATGTCTCAAAAAGTGCGTCCTCTTCAGTGTCTAACTCTGACACATCAAATTCATAGTTGCGTACATTGGCCTAAACTATGAACGAAAAATGCCATTAAGCGCTATACAATAATAGGTCAGGGAAGACACAGTTTATGCCATGTACCGAGTAGGTTTAAAATGATGGCAAAACAACATAGCCTACCTCTACAGAGTACCCCATAAATCATAAAAATCAATCTGATAAGAATATAACATTAGGCCATGATATCAAATATGGCCGGGGCAAAGTGGAACCGCTGTCACTTTGCCCCATCCACTTTGCCCACCCGACCACATGATAGTCTAGACATGTGCAGTTAGCCTGCAGCACAAACTACGCAAAGCATTCATCATGTCAATCAGGCACACATATGCCTTAATCAACAAAAGAGGCCTACAAAAACACAAGATCACAAGTGATTAGCAGATGAATTACTTTTAAGCAATAACCGTTCAAACACATAAAAATACAGACTTCCGTCAAAAAAATACACAGCGGATCAGCAAATCGGCATCGATCAAAACGCAGCATCAGCAACTGAGCTTATGAAAACAGTCACAGAATAGATGGGCATTAACATAACTGCGCGACAATTCCACTTGCCCTGTGTTCCGCTTTGCACCGGTTCCCTAGCAGTGTAAACAGCGGCCTCGCGCGCTGACGGACGCCCTAAGCCGAGCTGGTGTTGAATCGCATCGCGCTAACGCACACAACACACACACGAACACACACAGCGAACACACACACGAACACACACACGAACACACACCGAGACCGATACATAACGTAATAACGTGTCTATATATACGACAGCGTCTCGGCTACCACACACACACACACACACACACACACGCCGCGCGCACCCGCACACGCACACGCACACGCACCACGCAGACACGCACACGCACACGCACACCGAACACGCACACGCACTGGCCACACGCACACGCACACGCACACGCACACACACATACACACACACCACACACACCACGCGCGTGCCGTGCAAGTACGACGTGTGTCATCATATAGTATAGTATACCGACACGCAAGGCGAAGCGGGCATGAGCGCTAAGTCAACATACATTACCACATCTCATATACTATACAGCAAATCCCTTTCCTAGTATTGCACATTATTCACATACGCCCACCACGCCATAATTTAGTTGAATAAGCGAATGTTGGGTATGGTGAAGATGCAGAGTGTCCGCCAAAATGGTAAACGTCATTTTAGGTTTGGGCCGCACATCTACTGCACGAACGCAAATTGTAAGATTGTGCAAAATCGCAAGCTTGGGTACAACACGCACGACCCACACACACGCACACCGCGCGCAAAACAAGGTACCAATAAATATAATCGAATCAAATATTGACCTTGTATATAATACCATGGGCCACCAAAAGATGTATCATAGTGTAGTGTCTTCTTATATAAGTTCCCAGCTGCTATTCGGCTGCGAAGATTTTACAATAGCGAATATAACCACAAATAGATTACCTACTAAACCATCAAGTGTGACACGGATAACAATGCTGTGCCGCCACAACTATTGGCTATGCCCCTTATAACTAGGAACCACATAGCACCTAAAAATTGCAAACGGAGTTAAAATTCGATCGTTACATCTCGAGTCATCTTTCTGAATGATACGCCAATTTATATGTGCATAGGCAGCGTTCCAGTTTGTCCATTTCCATTTCATGAAACTGTTTGCATCCATAGCGCAGAGGTCATAATAACGCGTGCAATGATTATGTGTCAGCATAACGGATGATCAGCCTAATCAGCACTGCCGTTCCAAAGATTTCATTTAGACACTATGAAAGCTTTGAATGATGCAAGAACCAGAAAAACCCGATATGTAATTTAGGCCAAAACAACAACAAAAGCAAAAGGCATCAAATTCGAGTCTTGGAACGGCCCGTGAGAAACCAACATACGCATTCTCTTACAGATTGCAAATGTAGTAAATCAGCTGGAAAGAAATGGTGCGCTGAAAAGGCCGTGGTTTCACTGGTACAGGCGCTGATCCCATTTAATGGCCTTGGCAGACGTGCTTTGGCAGCAGGACAGCCTGGATGTTGCAAACACCTCCCTGCTGACTGTGACTCCGGAGAGCAGCGTTCACTCCTGCGCTCGTTGCGGATGGCCAAGCTGCAGATGACGTGATAATCCTTGACTCTGTTCGCGAGCAGCGTACCGCCAACTCAGCACCTCAGCGGTCAGTATCAAAGACGGCGCCAGGTAGACGAGCTCCAGCGCAACCCCTCTCGCAAGTGCCCTTACGAGCAGACGATGAATAAGTCCAACAGGGCACGGCAGTCCAGCGCGGACTGCTTCTGCCTTCCACTTTGCTCTCACTTTCCTCCCTTCTCACATCAGACATTTGATGAAGAATCGTATACGCGACTAAAACGGACGACATGTAAGCCCTAAACTCACACAGCCCTATTTAACTTCAAATAAGACTACGGACCTTCGCGCCCACCAATAGGCAGCGCGAGTGGTGTACTTGCGCGAACAAGTTTAACGCTAACAGTGTGCCGATCCCTCTGTCCGCCGCTTCCGCTCGATGACACGGATAATGGGTTGAAAATGTCAGTTCTCTCTCATCCGCCCCTGTCCTATAAAATATGGCCAGCGTCTACCGTACCTGCGCAAACACGTATCGACACGCATGCCGCAAAGCCAAGGAAACAGCCCGTGAAGAAGGCCGGCAAGCGCAGAAGAGCCTAACGATGGCAAGAAGAGAGGAAGAACAGAAAAGGAGAGCTACCAGCATCTACCAAACAAGTCGAAGCAGCGTTCACCCAGACACCGGCATCTCAGCAAGGCGACTGTGACATCTGAACAGCTTCGTCAACGACATCTTCAGCGTATCGCGGCGAGCTCCCCGTCTGGCCACTACACAGCGCTCAACTAACTCGAGCAGAGCTCCAGACTGCTGTCCGTCTCATCCTTCCCGAAGCGCAAAGCAACGCAGTATCGGAGGCAACCAAGGCAGTCACAAACGTACACCCACATCCAAGTAGCAGTCAAACGCCGTACCAGTTAACCAACCGGCGCCTTTGTTCAGGCCACCATTCCTTCCAGAAATGATTACTACATTGCACAACCTGCTCCATCATCATGTTTTAACGATATTCAACCGATGCCGCTAACACAGTGGCTGCGTATACCTCATTATTATGCATTTAACCTACTCTGTTACTTCTCAATCGCCGACGTCCCATTAAACCTGGTTTCTAATCCAACCCTGTCTCGTCACAACGCAGCACGAATTGTATCGTATATCTCTCACCGCACTACCCCATGTCCTTCCTCTCTGTCGATAACTACTACGTATTTTAAGACATTTGCAATCGTAAGAAGAACGAAACTCCTATAATACAACTCACACTGAAATTCCCCACCCCCCATTGTGACATCCTCTTATATTAGGTATTCCACAGTAGCACTGTCTCGCCAAAAACCCTGTATTAAATGAATTTTTTGCTTCATACATGTCGATTGAACAACATATAAAGCAAGAAACAATATAGCACTACGAGAGGTAGCTATGCTTTACACCAAAATTTCTCAAGCAAATCAGACTCAATTCATCCCAATCAATAAAAAATGAATAAAACGAAAAATTTTTAGCCTTTACATCTAAATTCCGCTCACGCTCCTATGCTGTGTGGCTATTGGCGCATGTTATCGTTCAATTTAACTGTTTAGAACAGGGCACAGTTCATCTCAGTTCCGTTAGTTCTGCTCAGTTCTAGAACGGCTAATTCGCCGACAAGTCACTACTACATTAGAGTGCGACATATGCACTATGACAAACAATCTTATCCTACATACCACAGTACTTATATACTGTTGCTAAAGGTCCACACATAGAGAACTGCGATTCCTAGATATATAGGCGTTGAGAATATTGAGCGCGTATTAGATTGAGAGCGGGAAAACGTTTTGTGTATCCACAAGGCACTTGACCTTTCATTTATAAAATGATAGCAAATAAACACTGAATTGTATTTTAGCTGCGAATCTCACTGTTTATCTCTCTCTATGCCTTTTATAGCAATAGATCCCGTAAATGCAAACGCAACACACAATCTCACCACACAGAGCCTCTGGCACGCACGCACGAAAGCAATACAATTTTGTGAAAAGTTACTGCCTGTATGGATAGCTTGTGCACGATACGAAAAAAAACTGCGAAAGATTGCACACTCTTGAAACGAATTAACAGGCCGTGTGCTTTTATTACATTATGCACACGAGACTCAGACGCATCTTCAATCCGCTTCTACAATCTAGTAAATGCCTCTCGCCAAAACAGCTGATGTAGTGTTACCGATTAGGAGTAACTCGCAGCTAAAACCAACCTATAGATGAGTGTGCTGATACATCTCCTGTCTATAAGCCTTGTAACTTATCTTAAATTAAAACTATTTGCCAACCATATCTAAATAAATA